GCGCCGTCAAAGGCTGCGGCTCTGGAGAAGCGGGAAAGAGCTGCCCTGGGCAGCCGCTGTGCCCCGGGGAGAACAGGGGGCTTGGCGATGGGCAGGGCCCACGCTCTCAGGTCGGGCAGGGCCCGGCTGTCGGCTGTGTTCGCCGGGGAGGGTTCGTCGCTGGAACCGAGTGATGCTGGGCTGGAGAGAGCGCTGGGGGGAATCTGACACAGGGAACTGTCCTGCCCTAGTGGGGGTGAGGCCGGCCCAGCTGTGAGGCCCCCGGTGGCAGGGGGAGCATGGCGGAAGCTGCAGTGGTGTGTGTTGATCGCACAGGGCTCTGGCTTGTGCCGGAGTGGGAATGGCTGGGGGCCGCAGATGGTTGGGCCGTGGCTGAGCAGGTGGTCCCCTCACTGGATCCATTTAGCCCTTCCGGGATGAGTGCCTGGCCGGGGCAGGCCCCTTTAACCCTCTGAGCACGCAGGCCGGTTTGCTGTCGCTCCCTGATGGGGACTGTCCCGCTCTGGGGTTCCAAGCCGCCGGGAATCTCTCTGTGGAGAAGGCTGGATGTGTGTAGGGGCATTCCCCACCCCCAGGGTATGACCAGCTACATGTCCCCACCCCGATCAGTCACTTCTGCTTACCCTTGTTCTGCAGCTATAAACCCCGTGTCTAGCATCTCTCTGAAGTCCTTTGCAGGCGAGAGCCCTGGAGCCGGGCTGCTGGGGGCTCCGTCTCGCCTTGGAGAGATGATGCCTTGTGTGTGTGCGTCACACTTTTGTGATGTGTCAGACCATGAGCTGGATGGCCTGACGTGGTACCTGGCCCACTGTACGGACCGCACATCCCCCGGCACTGGATTGCAGTGTGAAAGGTCTTACCAGCACTGCCCCGGCGTGGTCCCGAGGAGCTGCTGCCTAGGCTGTGGGCCCGGAGAAAGCAATACCTGTTACTGAACTGGAATTGGGGACAGTGCAGAGGGGAGGCCAGCACTGGCTGAGGAGACCAGGAGGAGGCAGGATTTTGGGGCTCGGCAGTCGTTCTGAGGCTTGGAGTATTTCTCAGCATCAGAAGGAGCGTTTGCTCCTTTTCTGCCTGAGCCGCAGGCCAAGGGGCGGCGGTGGCCGTCGAAGGAGACGCTTTCTCAGATGTATGTGGATCTCCGGGGGATTTCATCTGTGCGGCGGGCTCGGATACTGGGGAGATGAATGCGCATGTCAGCCAGGACCCTTATTTGTTGACAGCACTCGGGTGAAGGTGGCCGGGCCTCTGGGCATAGGAAATGAGAGGGCTTAGCAGATGTGATGCTCTGCAGCTGAGAGACGCAGATTCAGATCATGGGCTGGGAAAGGTCTGGTAATGGCTGGAAGTGAGTGTCCAATGGAGGCAGATGAGGATTGCCAGATCGTTTCCCTGGCTAGGGCAGCGTCACGCTTCCTGCTGAGCGGGGTCACAGACTTCGGTAGGGCTGCTGGCCTACAGGGACCATAACCTCAAGTCATACCTGGGCCCCTGGAGTCCAGCATCCCACCTCTGTGATCGGACCATGCCATAGGTCGGCCTGCTCCAGGATCCGGCCTCCTCCCATGTCAGAGGACGCTATTGGTCCATCTACTCCGGTGTCACACATGGTGAATGGGAAAGGTGAACAAATCGGGCATCGGCAGTGGTGGTCGCAGAGCAGACTCGCCCCAGCAAAGCCCTAATAGGGAGCTGTCTCCGGCATTGTCTCTGCTATCAGGGCTGCATGTCTCATGGATCTGAGCTGGGGCTCCTGCAGGCATTGGGAGAACACCCTGCCCCTCGCCCAGTTGGATCGGGGGGTCAGAGAATGTCTCACCTCGCCCTGAAGCAGCGGGTCGCAGAGGCAGGGCCCTGCCGAGATTGGGGCAGGGATCTGGGGCAGGGGCCCACCGGCGGTGCAGCCAGGACAGCGGCCGATGGGGCGGGCGGGAGGGAGGAAGATGGTGCCTGGTTTCATGCCTGGGCACTGCAGGGTTGCTTGCCAAGCCCCGGGCTCTGGAAGCTGCCTCAGTGGCTGCCCAGGTCTCCTGGCTGCTAGGGGCCAGCGGCCTGGCGTCGCAGACAGAGGGACGGAGGCAGGTTGCTGGAAAGCTCCGTTCTCTTTGTCCTGATATGGCCTGTGCTGCTTTCCCGGCACTTGGGCCCAACTCCAGCAAGTGGAGCATAATCCCCCCCTCCCTCCCCGCTTCCTTCGCCCAGACGCATTAACCCGCTGCTGCGATCCCACCGGGGCGACGAGTGACGGCAGAGCACGGAGCAGCCCAGCCGCTGGGCTTTGGGGACCTGCTGGAGGAGGCCAGGCCTGCACTGAGGGAAGGAACTGGCTCCTCTCAGACTCCCCTGCCCTCCCCGTGTAATCTGTGGCTGCCTGCCAGGTGTCACACTGAGCTGCCCCTTCTTTCTCCAAAGGGACGTGCTGCAGATGTGTGCTCCACCGAGCGGCCCCAGCCTCCTGAGCCCGGAGAGCGGCTCGGCACAGAGGGAGGCTCCAGGGAGGTGGGGGAGGCCCCTGCACCCTGACAGCGCAAGGAGAGGCTGGAGAAGATGCCCGTGGGAAAGTTCTGCACAGAATGGCCTGGGGCACGAGGGGCACCTGGGAGAAACGGGCAAGCCTGCCAGAGCGCAGCGGCCTTCCCTGCCTCTCCTGCTGGAAACACAAGCGATGGTGCATGTGTGTGTGTTCAGGGGAGGGTTCGGAGGGGATGAGGTCTGGCTGCCCCGTGATGCTGACCCCAAGGGTAAGGGGTGGGGCATGAACAGCCGTAGAAGGCGATAGACTCGCAGTTCGCTCCCCTCCTTTCCCTTCCTCGAGCGTCTCGCCTTGATTTATCGAGGCTCTGACGGTGCAGCTTGTTAACAGCGATCCTTCAGTTGGGCTCTCCGCTCTCCCGCTCGCTCAGCGGGCGTGGGGCAGCTCAGCGGGAGAGCTCCGAGCAGAGGCCAGGGCACTGGGGGGCGTGGTGTTTATAACTCAGTAGGGGGCGCTCTTCTTCCCAAGCCACTGCACCCAGCGCCCTGGTGTGTGTGAGGGGCAGCAGCCTTCCAGAGAACGGGTCAATCGCGGGCATCAAGCTCCTGTCCCCATGGCCCATTTTGTGCAGCAGGGGCGCTAAGCCTCGGGTCCCTGCACCCTGCCTCGTGGGACTCTCTCCGTGCGTGCTGTCCCCGTCACAGCCCCTGTCCTGCGTGGTTTTCTGAGCACTCTTCAGTCACTGCCCCACTTCCAGGTGGACCAACCCCAAGCATTAAAAAAAAAAAAAAAGTGATTCAGGCCCCAAAGAGTCATGAGATTGGCCCCCAAATCACGTGATTTTAAAAAATACCAAGTTTTGGGTTCTCGTTTTTTCTGGGCATTGAGCCTTTAGGGATCATGTTTTCCGGCTTCCTTGGTGACCATGCCAGAAATGTAACTTTTGTTGTTGTTAATAATTAAAGTTGAAATTCTGTCAAAATAACATGACTCCAGGAGCTGGGGCTGTAAGAAAGAAACACCATGTACCACGAGTTAATCCCAAGAGCTGGCAATGCTGTGTCTCGCCCAAAGGTAGTTGCATTTCAGGGGAGGATGAAGGTAGAAATTCCTGGGGAAGGTGCTTTGTTCTCCTCTCCAGGGATGTCTAGCTGTGCCCGGCTAGCCGTGCTCTGCAGGTACGGTGCCGCCTGGCAGGATACCTGGACCGGCAATGCCTTCCAGGTGCAGACTGCTATCATTACCACTGCTCTCAGACCGGCCTGTTCCCCCCCTCCCTGCTTCAAACAGAACTGACTGGAGAAGGAGAGATTGGTTCGCTGGAGATGCTTTCAAAGCAGGGCAGCTGCCCCCGCTCGCTCGCACTTAGCAGCAGCCTGGGCAGGAGGAGAATCAAGGCCCCTATCTTCCATGTGCAGAGCAGCCTTGTCCTCCCCGGGGGCCCCATCCCTGAGCTCACGGGGCTGATATGTTAGAGCTGGGATTGTCCACTGGGGCGTGGGGCAGCGTGCTGCAGTGCGGGCAGGGCGCTGGGGTCTTCACCATCATGTTGTCTGACCCTGGTTAAAGCACCTGCCCTGTCTCTGCTGTATCACCATTGCCACGTCTGGTGGAGAACCGTCAGCGTGTCTCGCTCCTCGTCCCAGCACTGCTGGGCAGCGTGGCCACCCCTAGCCAATGGCACCCATCACAGATTTGTGTGCCTCTTATTTTATGTGGGTTTAACCCACTTTTCTAACCCCTGACTTGGCAAAGCATTTCCGGGGGTGAGTAACCCCGAGCCATGCGATGGGATTATTCATGGGGGCCTGTGCTTTGCCGAGGCCTTGGTCTCCCTCTGCTCTTTCCTGGGCTTGAGGAGACCTGGCTGCGGTGGGAAAGGAAGGGTTCTGACAGGATCCCCGCTTCCAGCGCGAAATCCTGCCAGCCCTCATCTGTGTGGGCCCCGGCCTGGGCTGCCTGGGAACCCTGACATTGTCAGAGCAGGGGGTGATGCCCAGCCAGCCCTCTGGGCTGTAACGTCTGTAACGTCCCCTCCCGTCCCCAAGTCCCTGTGCCCTGACGTGACGGAAATGGACACTGTAGGCCGTGCAGGGCCTGAGCCAGAGCCCACGGAAGTCTGGCTGGCTTAGAGGCCTGAGCTCTGGCGCTTCTCTTTAGTGAGGTGCTGATTCGAATCCTGCCCAGGCTGGTGGCACACGGCAGATGAACTGGGCATCCCGGCCCAGTTCCTGGTGGTAAAGTGCCCATGTCCCGAAATCCCCCCCACAGCTGGCTGTGGCTGGGCCCTTTGCTGGGATTCTCTGCATGGGCCATGTCCCATCCCAGGGTGGAGTCCCTCCGAGGCAGGATCGAGTCTCCCCTGCTGCTTTCAGGGCTGTCCCCGTTCCGTGGTTCTGCAGGGGCCCTTAAATTAGCGTCAAACGGCTTTTACAAAGCAAGGGACAAAGAGCCATTTGTCAGAGCTTGGGTGAACGTCCCTGTTTGTCACTTGTTTAATGCTTGCTTTCTCTCTCCCCCAGAGCTCCTTGGGTCGGCAAAGAAAGTCAATGTCAACTTCCAAGACACTGATGGGTAAGTCGGTGCCACCTGCATGCCCCGGTGCCCAGCTGAGTGTGTGACTGGGGGGTGCTTGCCGCTTGGATGGAGCTAGCAGAAGAGTATCTCAGGTGTCTGAGAGCCCTCCAAGCTCCATGATGAAATTGGGCTGCTCTGTGAGTGAATTGCTCTCTATGGTCTGTTGGCACCTGCGTTTTCCCCCTTGGTTTACAAGGGCCTCTTCTTTTTTGCCAAGCCCAGCTCTGAGATGTCTGAGTTCGGGAGAGGGAGGAGGCTCCATCCGGTTCTGCAGCATCCACTCCCTCACGCGCTGAGCACCCCCAGTGTTAGGACCTCTCTGCCCAGCGGCTTTGCTTTCATGGGTTGCTCTGGGAAACGGGGTTGCTATTTGTTGCCTTCGAGCAGCCTGGGGGAAAAGCTAGTTTCCAAAACCTCCAGTTTCCATGTTAGCCCCAGACAGACTCCCTAGCTGGCACTGTGTCCCCTGAGCTTTCGGTGGACGGCAGAGGGGAGCGCTGCCTGGTGTGGGGCCTTGTATCTAATGGGCCTCAGTGGAATGGCCGCGTGATTCGTGCCAAATCAGTTTTGCAGACACCGGTGGGACGAAAAGCCAGGCTTGGCTCCAGGCCTGTGGGCTGGATTTAATGCTCTGCCGTGTTTCCCTCAAACCGGGCCTGCGACGCGTGGTCTGGAAAATGGGCACGGGATGCAGAGAAGTCACGACAGTCTGTCCCTTAGAAGCCAGCGCTGCCTAAACTGCTCTTGAAACCAGCCCCGGGCTGCTGGCTGGCTCCAAAGCCCTGGGCTAGAGCAAGGTGCATTTCCACAAATTGGGGCTGCCCCCCGTGGGAACCCCGCCTGGGCTAGGTGCTACGCACACCTGGGAAGACACGGCCTCTATCCCCAAAAGCTTAGTCTAAAATCAGACTAGAGCCCAGGTGTTCTGTCTCCACCCCGGCGCGCTCCTCTCTAGGCCCGGCTTCCTCCGAGACCTAGGCGCCGACTTCTGCTCACGCCGGTGGGTGATCGACCTCTCCTCTGCCCCTGGGCCCGCCCCGACTCCACCCCGAGCCCACCCCCATTCTAACCCCTTCCCCAGAGTCCCCACCCCGACTCCACCCCCCCACCCCCATTCTAACCCCTTCCCCAAAGTC